AATGGCCTGGCAGGCTGAATCCAGCCTGCCCCTGTCATAAAAGGATTGTCCCTGCAAGCCCAGGAAGCAATCAAGAAAAATCATTCAGCCACTCAACCTAGTGCCACCAACTCCAATTATTTTACCTACAACCCATCTCTGAAATACAATGCAGACATACAGACCATGGAAAGGGCCAAGTGCAAAATGAAATGTGCCGCAAAAAAGGACAGACTATAAAAGAAAGGGTTTATTCTCTCACGGGGAAGAGTGGGCAGTGGAAGAGGGATATCCCTTAGTATTTGGAAGATTACTGGGCAAGAGAAAAGAGTAGTAGTAATATTCTGTACTCTCAGAAGGGGACAATACTTCTCAGGATTTTTGTCATTGCAAAGATCTGTAACTAGTTAATAGGTTCCTGATAAATAATGCTTTCAATTTGAAACACTGTCTAACTTTATCCCAACCATGCAGTTGTTTCAATAAAAGTTATCACCCAAAAATATTCCCTGCTTCTTACATAATTCCTGGACCATCATGACTATATCACTCTATAATTACCAGAACATGGAAGATATTGTGGTCCTTCAAAATATGCAAAAGAAACTATCATAATTCAACCAGGATGGTAGCCAATTCTGCTTTTTCACAAACTATACAAATTCAACTCCTTACCAGTAGGGGAAAGATTTTCCCTTTTGTCCTTCATGTCTTTTATTCTCCTTTCCATCGCATTGCATTGCTCCTTTAATTTACTAACAGGGCTGTACACTAGCGAGCCATCATCCTCAAATAATAAAACTGGTATATCTGTTTCTAAAAATGAAATTGCAGTTTTCATGTTAAATTAAGTCTTTCATATGTGGAGAGAGTACACATTTAAGTTACAGGAAGTTCACATTTCAAAGTGTATTTATCCAAATCAAAGATGCTTCCAAACTCAATGACCACCCCCCCAATAATTAGATTCTAAAGACACAACATTTATAAATTTGAAATAATTTTCCATGTACAGAACCTAACTTTTAGATGATCATCTTAAATTCACCCCCAACACCACTGCAAGGGGGCAGGTAGCAAGGGAATCAAGCGGCTTGCTCCTGCCCTTGCCTCCTATCCCCACTTCTGCCTCCCTCCTCCCCTCTACATGCCAGCATGTCCTGGTACCTGCCCCCCACCACAGTGCCTGTATCCCCTGATGCTCCCCACCCCACCAAATACCTGTATTCCCACCCCTCCTTTCTACAGCTGACCCTTTGGCTCTGGTGCTGCTCCAGCCCAGGGCATAAAGCCTGTGGAGCCTGGCCATGCAGCAGCTGTTGTAGCAGTAGACACTCCAGTCAGGGCCCAAAATGGGAACAGGGCCTGGAGCTGCTACTACCATTGCTGCATAGTTAGGATGGGGCTGAAGTAACCACGTATCCTGTGCCTCAGGCTGGACTAGGGCCAAAGCCATGGCAGAGGATAAGTGATGGTGGCCAGGGATCGGCAGACGATAAGTGATGTGGGGTGGGGGAGGCAGGCAGAGAGGGCAGGTTACAGGGGTCAGGAGGCTCCTGCAGCTTCAACTCCAAACCCAAGCCGCAGCTGCAGCAGCCACCTGCCTCCTCCATCCTCCCCCGACATGTACTCAGGTTCAAGACAAGAGGCTTCCCCCCTCCCCCCACAATGGTAAATTGGGGGGGAAGCTTTCATCATGGATTTGACCAAATATGGTACTTAGAAATTATTGTTCCCCAAAGATGTTCCTAACAATGCCATAAACTTAATTTTGAATTCCAAAAATACCCCCTCCTTCAAGATATGGAATTTCTTAGAGACCTGCAAAACACCCTTCATTTCTCATCAACAAAAACTACTGTAATAGCTCTTAAAAATAATTTGTGTTTAAAATACTTAAAGAGTAAATTCTACCTTACAGAGTTCTTATACATTAAAAGACACTAAGTTTTTTTGGCATCTGTTTTGGTTGGGTTTTTTTTTTGTTTTTTTTTTAATAACCTGGCAAATACTTAACTCACCTGAAGCATTTTTTTGTATATGTAGTTCTTTTGCCATCTTATCTAATCTTCGTTGCAGTCTTCTATCATTTTCTGGTGTTTTTTCAATAAAATCTTTTGGTTGCATGCATTTATGCTATAAAATACATAAGGCTACATAAATACATACATTAACCACAGTATAAACCTTACTTAAATTAAAAAAGATATTTAACCTTTGTCTCCTAAGCTTATTTTGAGCTACAATTATTTTATACTGGATTTTGAAAGCTCCCCGGGACCCAGAGACAAGTTAATTATATCATAAGTGGAACGTCTACCAGAGCCTATTTTTACACTGCAGAACAGTGTTGAGATATGCAACGTTTAAAGAAACTAGCTCAGGTACAGAAATCAATTTACCTGTGCCACCACAGAATTCTGTATGGACTACTTTACCTTGCCAAAATGGGTGAACACATTACTTACTGTACTCTGCAGTGTAACATCCCATTTAGCACTCAGACAGACAAGGTTATTTTGGTAAATCTGCTATCTTTTATTAGACCAACTAAAATAGCTGGAAAAATTCTTTGCAAGCTTTCAGGTACAGACACCCTTCATCAAGCTGAGAAAGCACCTACAGTTGGTCTGCGGTCTTCCTGGATGGAATAGAAAAAGCACAGACCAAGATGCTTCCTCAGCCTGACAAAAGGTATTTGTACCCAAAAGCTTGCAAAGAATAATGTTCCCACTTATTTCAGTTGGTCTAATAAAAGATATTGGATGTACCCAAAGAACCTTGACTGCCTATGTCCTTAAGCCAACACGGCTACAACCTATACCCCTTTAGCACTCAGCAGTTTTGAAAATGTTACCCTCACTTTATCTCCTCAAAGCCTGTGTTTTCAGGCATGTATTCTCCATTCACTTATATATTCTCTACTTTAAGACACCTCACTGACCCAGAAATACCGAGTCAAAGAGGTAAGCTTTGCAAGATGTTCCAGAATTATAAGCTTCTTTTGTTGAAGAGCCCCCAAACTCCTTGGTGATGGGTGTCACAATATTCCTCCTCACAGATAAGCTGCCCCAAAACAGATTCAGTCCGAAAAACAAGGACTAGCTCAGAGAGGCCAGAGGCATCAGGTAATGTTTCAAGTGAGTTGAGATAAACAGGCCAGTGACCACACCAATGCCAAAAATACAACCCTAAATACAGACAATGGTGACATGTCATGACTCAAGAGATTTACTGACTCCTGTTAAATTGGCTAACAGATAGTTATCTCAGAGGAATGGGCAGTAACACAGAAAAGTCTAAAATCTGAGAAGTATAAGACTCTGAGGCCCCTGGCAGACCTGCAAGTAAAGGCAAGATAGGATCACACTTCCTGCCATGATATGCAAGCCCACCCTGTGGTCTAAGCCCATGTTCAGTTAATGGCTTGATAGGAACCAGCCACACATTTTTTTGTGTAATAAAACAAGAAACAAACCACAAAGTTATCACACCATTAACTGTATTAACATGTGGCTAGGTAACAACTTAAGATGTGATCAACTGGGTAACAGTATCTGGAAGTCTGGCCAGTAATTTACCTTTACTACAAGGATAGGTCCTGAGGTACCTGATAATTCACAACCTTGTAGTGAGTATAACTAAATTCTCTACTGTATGTGGCTTCCATTGGTAATTTTACTTGATTGGTAATATCCCAATAAACGTGTGTATAGCTCAGAGGAGTTTGCTTTGGTTCGTCTTGTATTTCTCCAGGCAAAAATCAGCAAAAGACTCCTAGAGTAATCCTGAGTGTAACACTAAAACAAATAAGGCTCGTGGTTCAGAGATGTATTTACTAACCTTAAATCAATTATAAATTATACACTCACTTTTTTAATATGTAGGGGTAATCCTTCACTGGCATACACTGCAGGAAATAAAGATTCATCAACCCGTACACCAGTTTCTCTGCATCTATAAAAAAATTCAGTAAGCAGTTAAACAAAACATTATATTACCTCAGCTCTGTAAATGAAGCACTAACATTCCCCCACAAGAAAAGCTGTGAATATGTAAAATACATAACACGTCAAACCTCTTAAAGACAAGAGAAATGCCTAGAATAAAAAAATGACTTAGAACTAATGGTTACAGCCTATAACATCAATAATTTGTAAATAAATATGGGAAGCCAGTCCTTAGAAATAAAATGGAAGTAGAAGGTTCAGAAAACTTGACTCCACAAGTCATTTCCCTTCTTCTTCTCCCCTCAGCTCCCTGAAACAAACAGTGTAAAAGCTTTCTGGCATGAGTCGTGTCCCTCAGTTATGGCCTTGCCCACAATTCTGTAAACTGAAGGCCTCATCTCTCACCAACTAGCAAACCTAATCTGGCCCCTTACTGAGAGTGCTCTCTCAAACCAGAGCCCACAGAATGTTGTGGGCAGGCACTGAAAAAAGAAGGACATCTTAGCTGCTAAGCAGATGGAGAAAAAGAGGTAACCTGGTATTTGCTTTTATCATTCTTCACTTAGGCTAGGGAAAGGCGTTCAATTCTAGCACTAAGAATTTCCAGGAAACAAGTAAAACTAAATAAATTAGGTTGGGATGTACAGATGTTCTAGCCTGCTGGCTGAAGAGCTACGTACAACTCAAAGGTGAGCTCTTCTGCCAGGGGGTGCTGCAGGACTTCCCCTTGGGTCCCCCTGCCACTAGGGGAGCCTGATGATCGACAGGCGGTCCTCTCTCCTAGCACAGTCTGGATACTGTTCTGGCCCAGGAAGCAGGGTTCCAAAAGGGTTCCCTAACAGCTCAATCCCCAATTGTACACACAGCAGCCAGTGCTCTTCCTCCCTCTCAGCCCTTGGGGAGTGGGAAAGAGTACTGTGGGACAATGTGGTTCTTGGGACTTTGAGAAAACCATAAAGGCATACAGGGGTTTCTGGGTGCTAGAAAACAGCTTGCTCTAAAGTTCCTTGTTCAGAGCTATCATTTTCTCATAGGCAGGCAAGGTTCTTCGAGCAGATGTGATATCTTTTATAAAATATATAGATACATAAAAAATATCACATCTACTCGGAGAATCTTCCCTGCCTGTGTCCTTAGACCAGGGGCTGGCAATTATTTTGGGCGAAGGGCTGCTTACTGAGTTTTGGCAAGCCATTGAGGGCCACATGACAGGCAGCCCAGGGCAAATAAATATTAATTTTCTAAATTTTTTAGGGGCCCCACGGGCTGGATAGAATGGCCTGGCGGGCTGCATCCGGCCCGCAGGCTGCATTTTGCCCACTCCTGCCTTAGACCAACACAGCTACAACCAACAACCCAGCATCATTTTCTCATGGAAGAACTAGTTTTGTTCTGCAAAAAAAATAAAACAAAAAAATCCTTTAGCTTCTGTATGCTGGCTTTTTGTGCTGGGAGAAAGACACTTTTCCTGGCACAAATGTAATGCCAGTCCACAGCCCCCTTCTCCTGCTTTTGTCTCTCTAGTGTCCATGGAGAAAATGGGCCGTGTCTGGGCTTTACTCACGTAGATTTATATTGCCAGATCTATTAGTTCACCCCAGTTAGCTATATTTCTTTTGATTTTCACTACTGAAAACTTATATGAGAACTCATGGGCTGAAAACTTTCTGGGCCCAAATTCCATCCATGCCTACTTGTGAACGCTCTGAGTGAAACTGGGGGAATATTTTGGCTACTAATATAGGTCACACTAAAACACAATTTTAACTAGTTCTCACTGAAGTATCATTTAATCATTCCACTATTTTTCAAACCATACAGAAATGATTATGGAAGCGCTGTGGAACATTAAACAATATATTAGGAGTTCCTTAAAATTCACTAAAAATGTGATTCTAGTGACATCTAGTGATCTTACATTTTTAAGTACGCAGATATAACTATAATATATCATTATTAGAAGCACCCCATTTCAGAGTAGAATACTGGCAAATAAATTATTACACAGCTATATAATTTGTTTTGTTCACAGGATGCAGTGTCAAGTAATAAGATGTTATAACATTAATCTTGACTTTACTGAAATTCTTCTTTGCAATGTTCTAATACAGAATGCTTTCAATAAAAGTTTAACTCAAGTAAAGTGCCAAATTCCAAGGCCCTTACTGTCTGCATTTCCTGACTTTAAATTTGCATGATGTTGAGTAGCTGACCTTGAATTTAAAACTATAATAAAGTTCTAATGATACTATCATTTGGGTTTTAGTGTCCACTTTTTAAAGCTCATAGAATAATGTGCTTTGAGATAGCTTTTAGTATTTAACATTGTTTGCATTTCCCAACATTTTAGGTTTATTATGAAGTCTTAATAAAACAGTAAATACTACTTTGTCAAATTTCATTCAAGTTTGTCCATTGCTATTAAATCAGGCATTGGAGTTAAGAGGGTATTAAAAGACTGTCTAAATATAAATCAGTGCTCCTAAGCTGAATAGCATAGTACATCTAGCAGTACCATTCTATGCATTTTACTGGAACATTTAAAAACATAAAGGAACAGACATTTAGATTTTTAATAGTAAAAACAAGCTGGTGAAAGCCACACAAACAGACACCACCACTAGTTTTTTTCTATATTTAGCGAAGAAAGATGGTTTTCTCTCTACTTCCAAGCCATCTTTATTTTTTAGCATTTCCTGACTTGCAAATGTGTAAACCTGCAATAGAGTTGTTAGTTAAATGGAAACCTTGTGTTCTGGACAGATACAAATAAATAAATGATCCTTGTTCCTAAAGATTTTGACATAAAATACAGACAATGCGGCAAATACTAGAGACAGAGAAAGTTAATTAAGGTAGCATTCACTCAAAACTTCACATTTTACCCAACTAATTGTTTATTTGGTTACTGTCTTGTGTATCACTGCTCAGTTATAAAAATGGCAGCTATAGGTATAGATTTTGCCAAGGAGGAATCAGTTTTTGTTACAGAGGGCATGGATGACAACACGATCCATGTGATGGCTTAAGAATTTTTTTCAGCAAGAGTCTGAAGGCAGCTGTTTGAAGTGGGTGTCATGGAACAGTGACAGAAGGAATACTGTTTGCCTGTGACAGTGATTGCATGTATATTGTTCACATAACCAAGGAAGCCATTAAAAATCTTCATCCTGAGGGCTCCGTCATTTAGCTCCAAGTGACTTTAACTGTTGGAATATGGATTCCAACAGATGACTGTACAAAATAAAAGCAAATGTTTTTACTACGCATCTGTGCAAGTGAACAATTGTTTATAGTTTCTGCACCAGCTAAATTTAAAAGATAAATGTTAAATTAGTCAAATTATGTTTTTCCTTTAGTATCCTAGAGCTCCTGTAACTCTGAGGAAGCACATACTTTTTAAGGTGTGGACACACACAGCTGAACAATTCCAAAATGTCATTGATTGGAGACTGATCTAGCAACTTTAAAGAGTCAGAGGCAACCAGAGCCATAACACTCCTGGTAGAAAAGTCACCTTTTAAGCACTTAAGTGGTGTGGCCCTGAAAACAGGATGGGATTGAGTACCCAGCCAACATGCCTCACAGTGGGCAATTGGTAAGGGTAGGGCAAATGCTTGTACCCACACTTTGGGGATCCTAGTGGGTAGGTGACCTGTGAAAGGCGCTCTTTTTTTACTTTTCTGCTTTCCCTTCTCTTCTAAACATGAGTTCATTAAAGGTCAGTAACCTGCACCTGAACAAATTCTGCAGTGTGCCTGCCTGACTTGAGGTCCCAAATAGGGGTGGGTGGAAAAGGAGTTCCTGGATTCACATTTCTGGCTTCCCAGAAACTAGGGGGACATGATGAGGGATTACAGTGGAGCAGAAAAGGCAGACAGCTGGTTCCTAGAAAGATTGCCTTTATTGATCAAGCAGCATAATGGAACTCGTTGACAAAAAGTGCCAATAAAAGGAAAAAGAATGGGGGTAGTACACTTCTGACCACATGCCAGAGCAGCCAGTTACAGCAGAGGAAAGGAGTAAGAAGCAATGCAGCATGAGATCCTATAGGGCCAAACAGACCAGTGTCATAGAATACTTGGTGTCGACAAGTAACATTGACCCAGGTTCACAGTGAACTGATTCAAAAGAGCACTTGATTTTCCAGCTATATTTTTAATTGTTCCAGGAAGCTTTAAGCCTGTTTAACAGGCTTGTACATCTTTTTGTTTCAAATTTAAGCTATGTTTAAGCTTGTCTAAGTGTTATGTATGTCCATACCCCAATATTATAGGTTTAGGGTTGAATTTGGTCCCTTCTGGAGAGTGTACTCTTCAAGACTAGACAAGATTTCAAACTTTCAAATTTTACTTGCACATTGATACACTTAGCCACCTGCAAAACATAATTATTTCATAGTCAGAGATTCACAATGGAATCACCCATCAATTTGATTTGCATCTGGGAAAGACAGCCTGAAATACTAGAGACTTGAAGAAATATAACTCTCAGATAAAATTTCCCTATTATTTTTCCAAGTCTAGTTTTTAGAATGCAATTTCATTATTAGGTTAAGACCAACTGAAAGGCAAGAGGCAGTATAAATCTGACTGAATATCTTTCCTATCAATATATAAGTTAGAAAGAGATGGTTCACTTATTTTAAGCAACAAATTCCTTTTTGTCCAATACAATATTGGCTAATGCCTGCAAATCCACATCTACACTATCTTGAGGATGTATGGACCTTGAAGATATCCTAGGATGCTTTTCTGTGCTTTTGTATTGTTTAGAAAAACACAAAGTACCTTTTGACATTTTGAGAGATTTTTATGACTGATCAGACATCCAAGTTATGCCATGGTTTCTCTTCTTTATCAGCATAATCTGGATAAAATGCAGGGAGAGTAATACTACAATCTCTTGGTATCTGGAATTTTATGTCCAAAGTTCATCTTTGTTCTCAATACAAATTTATGCTTGTGAAGAGGAATCTTCTGGTGCCACAGAAAGAATTCCTGATTTGCCCAAGGCTGACATAGTAGTGATAAAAACGATCACTTTATGCTACAAAATTAAAAAAGATTTCTTGGATAGGTTCAAATTCTGTTTTTATTACAGCCTCTAAAACCAAACTTTAATCTCATGAAGTACTCACAGAGTGGTGTCTTGATCAGGGTAACTGACATTTATCTATAAACTATGAGATTGCAAGTTCCAAAAACCACAGCACACTACTTTGTTTCCCACTGGGAAAGACTACAATTCTCAGAAACAAGTACTATATTTTCCTGTGAAAAACAGAAATTCTATTGATCACGAAGAACAGATGTTATCTTTTCTTAATGATCCATCTATTCAAATCACTTTGGGTGATGAGAAGTAAGGGGTAGAGGTTTGCAAGAATATAAGCAACACATATAGCCAAAACAATTTCAGGGGTGTACTTGGTAGCTGTGTTGGTCTGAAACAAAAAGACATACAAAACACTAGAACTCTTGGTTCCAATATAATACCTTTAATTAAACCAACTGGAAAATGGCAAGAAAATTGTCCTTTTCTGCAATCTTTTGGATCAAAGTCCCTTCATCAGGCTCTGGGAAAAGTGTAGATGGTACAAGATGATAAGAAGTCCCCATAGGTAGGAAATAAACTTCATTTTTGCAGTTTTCTTGCCATTTTCCAGTCAGTCTAATAAAAGGTATCATATTGGAACCAAGAGTTCTAGTTTTTGTATAACAACTATTTCTTAATTTTTCAGATGGAAAAAAAAAAATCTTTGATTTGGTCTCCTTAAGGTAACCAGCATACCTTGAAATAGTAGCACGAGGATCAATAATAAAACAAACAGGAAATCCTGCTAAAGCACTTTGTGTGTAGTCTGTTGGTGTGGATCACTGGCTCACTTTTTCATTGTCCCCATGCTTGTTGATGTACTTTAGACAATAACCCACTAAGGCTTTTATTCCAGATGGAAAAAAAATAGTGTTTCTGAAGCCACTCTTGTTGCTGCATCTTGTACCTCACTGTTGAACAACTGAATCCTCTTTCAGCCAGGAGGACCAAACAGTTGAAGTCACTTGGAGTTAAATGACGGAGCCCTCAGGATGAAGATTTTTAATGGCTCCCATGGTTATGTGAACAATATACATGCAATCACTGTCACAGGCAAACAGTATTCCTTCTGTCGCTATTCCATGACACCCACTTCAAACAGGTGCCTTCAGACTCTTGCTGAAAAAAATTCTTAAGCCATCACATGGATCATGTTGTCATCCATGCCCTCTGTAACAAAAACTGATTCCTCCTTGGCAAAATCTATACCTATAGCTGCCATTTTTATAACTGAGCAGCGATACAAGACGGCTGCCCAATCAACAATTAGCATCTTCCTGATGCTGACATAAAAAAAAATGTATGAGAGATATTACATTACTAATTATATTTCCTGAATTACAAGTGCTGATACCAAATGCAGCTTGTTCTCTCTAGAAAGTGACTATATGTATAAAGGTTACTTCAAGTAAACAACAGCTGATGTACTTTTCTTCATTTTCAGCATGATTCAGTCTTAACGCTGGTTCAGATTTCTTCTTTCCTTCTGAAACTAGTCATAATATGTAATATTACTTACTTTTCTACCCACAGTATGGAAACCAGTTTTACTCCAGTCTGCTGTGCTTTTCTCCATGTAGCCAAATGTCCTTCTTTGAAGATTACATGAGTTACATGCTTGTTAAAAGTTTTTGAAACCTACAGAAATATACAAGTAGAAAGTTTTGGATATCTCCACCCACCTAATCTTACAACCATCATTAAACTACACAAAACATTCCACTTTTACTGCACTAAACACCACCCCTCTAAAAAAACCCCCAAAGATGATAAGCAAATAATGGGTGAGAACAACAGAAGAGAGCAAAGGGAAGGTAAGAGCAATTCTGAAAAAACATTTTATTCAGATAGTATGTCTGTCTACCTTTTCTGCTATATTTTTACTTCTGCATACTTCTCTCTTACACCTTACTACACTCCTAAGACCAGCCAGAAGCAACATCCTACTAGTACCATCAGTGCACCACCATATTTGGTGAACACATTTGGGAGGCTTTTCTTGGTAGTCACTCCTAAGTTTTGAATTTCCTGCTTCTCAAGGCCCACCAGAAATGCTTCAGAAAGCATTTCAGTAATGCCATAAGACCTTCCCATTTGGACAGGAATTTAACAAGCCAGGGTAGGTTGGGATATTGTTTAAAGATGGTTTGTTTTATACTCCGTTTGCCGTTATGCTGTCTCTCTCTTATAGTAAGACACCCTGATTTTTTGGCGAGGACAGCATATAAGTTTAATAAAACAATCAATCTTTGTATTAATATTCTATGGGAGATAGCAACACAGAACAACAAAGAATGGCCATTAAACCTTGATGATCCTTTATTCAAATGGAAGTACCTTTGGCTAAGGAGTTAGTTTCATTGTAAAGTAGCTATCTGTCCAACTGCAACAGTAACTAAGCAGTGGAATACCTGATAATGAACTCTGATGGATGAGCCAAAATAATCTGACAAATGTTACTGAAAATGAAAAAAAAAAAAAGAGGCTCTCTCAGTGGCCATGTTGGGGAAAGAGCAGAAGGAAATTGGCTGTGGGGACGAGCTAACAAGCCATTAAAAGTAGTGAGTTCTAAAAATAAACTAAAGAAAAAAAACTGGAACATGAAAGAGAAAAAGGGTGAATGGTGAAAGTTGAAACTGAATTCTGATTGTAATTGGGGCAGGTACTTTAAAAAGAAAAAAAGCTTTAGCAACTCTTTGGCACCACTAAATTCTAACAGTCAATGCTAGAAACTTACCAGGATTATGGACTCTTTTCCTGGGGTTTAAACTAACTGAGCCATCAAAAGAGTTAATACTGGAAAAGCTGAGGTGTCTACTATACAGTAAGTATTTTGATAGACATGAAATTGGAAAAAAAAATATATTGAGAGGAATTAGAAGCAAGGATTTGTGGGTGATATCTTTTATTGGACCAACTGTATCATCTGGGGCAGTGGGGTAGGAAGTGGGAAATACAGACAAGCTTGTGCGTACCAAATACCTCAAGCCTCTGCCTCTGAGAAAAAGCCTCAAGCCTCTGAGAAAAAAAACAGACACAGCTAGAGTTAAATAATGAACAGATAAAGACCTGTGCAAAACTCCATATGAAAACAGAGTATAAGCAACCGTCTCAGGTAACTAACAGACAAGAGAAATAGTGTTTTTATTATTAAAAATCAACGAAATCCACCCTGTACAGAGGTCTTTCACTCCTATACACGCTAAAACGAAAGCAAAAGAGGCAAAAATGAACAAAATGGATGTTTTACAGAAAATACGTTGTTACAGAAAATACAGTATTGTTTTTGATATTCTAATTTCCTTCAATCTGAGTGAATGATAGCAAAAGTACCAATAGATGATGACACAAAAACAAGTTTTAAAAAACTTGAAAACCGTGCGTTTTGCTACTTGTGCTGTTATCCATTGTCAGAGAAGCCAGAAAAAGACAGGAAGATCTCAGTAAGATTATAGCCTGAAATGGCTACCTAAAATAGCACCCATTTATTCAAGGAAATAGGATATCTACGAACAGATGCAACTGTTTTTATCACAGTCATATCTGTTTGTAACAAAAATCCATTTTATTACTCTTTAATTCAAGTTAATGGGTACCCAAATCTACAATGGTTCATTTTGTGGGGCACTATTTCTTCATGCACATATTCCCCAAGGTGGGCTAACCACTGTAATATCTGTTCTCCATCAACAGCTAATAATAAACTATGTTCATTTGGATCACTCATGTTTGTAGATGAAATGATATTCAGTATGTTTTTATACTGATATAGCTTAGCAGCTTGGACCAACTGTGGGTTTGCATATAGTCAGCTCAGGTCAGTGTTCCTCATTAGACAAAGGTTAAGTCTATGTCAAGAAAAAGCCTCTATTAAGATATTAATCAGACAGGTAGGAAGAAACTCTATTCTGGGAATGTTTACATGGAATAGAATGTGCATCAAAAATGGCCTAGTGCACACCCAAGAGTACTGGTACACTTAATAAGCAGGTGCCAGATCTTAGAAAGAAATAGACTACCAGAAAAAAAGCATGTTCCCCAGGAAGCAGAATAGGAAATGAGGGATGAAGGTGATAATGAGAAGTGAATTTATTTAAGCCCTGGGTGGTGAGAAGAGGTGTAGTATTTACTAGGAGCCCAGAGGAGAAAGGGAATCCAGCCAAGGAAGCTGGAGAATCACCCAAGAAGCTGGCAGGATTGCTTGCTGCTGGAATTACAGGGAACTTCAAAAATCTATTCCAGGGGAGAAATTAGCAAACAGATATTTGTATCTCATTTTTGCATTTCTCTAAATCTAATTCATTTGCTTTTGCTTTTTGGCTTAAGTAATGAATCAGTTTGGTCTTTCTACCTTACAATTTATCTGGTTATGAATGATCTGAAGGCAGTTGGCACCAACAAGAATTCCATTCATACATGAACAGGAGACCCATTTTCTTTTGTGAACCCAGGGAACCCTAAATTTCATGGGATTCTCTTCCACTAAGCTGTAAAGTCTGGTCAGGGTGCTGATCCAAGTGAAGCCCCAAGGATACTCAGCAGTACAGTAGGAAGAGAAGGCAGTAGCCCCAAAGCAATATCAAAAGCACTGTTAACTGATGGACCAAAAAATATTTTTTGAAAACTTGTAAAATTAATTTTGCTACTTGTTCTGTCACTTGCTGTCAAAGCAGCCAAAAAGAGTCAGGAAGATGTCCTAGTGAAATTATAGCCAGGTATGTAAATTAGCAACCTCTTAGTCAAGTGACATATTCCCTATGTTCATGGAGAGTCATATCTGCTTGCGAATTGTGACTAAAAACCCCCAAAACAAAAAATCCCCCCAAATATAAAAAAAATAAAAAATAAAAAATCAAACCCCACATACCTTTTTACTACTGTTTACTCATGTAAACCCAGCTGTGATATACACATAGCAGAATCTAGCTCAATTCTCTGTCCTGGGTGCAATCATTTACTAAGTTAGAATGAGGTACAACTGAGCAAGTGGAAAAGTTTGGGGGTCCAGTACATCCGGGGGGGGGGCACCTCCCATTTTGGAAACAGGAAATAGAGTGATCTGATCTGGGGGGAAAGGGGGCTCAGTACAACTGCACCCACACCCTTCCCCTCTCACAGGACCTGTGTGCATGCCTTCTTAAAATGGCACTGAGGGCTAACACATGAACAAACACAACAAGGGTTTTAAGAATCTCTAACAGGGAAAACTGTGGAAGAAGGAAAAAGCCAAAACATCCAAAATACAAGTTGATTCCAGTTATGGTTCAAAACTTCATAGCTAGTGGTTTTCGTGAAAGTCAAAATATATTTTATGCAGAAATCACTGGAGCGTGTACAAAGAATCCACAACCCCATGTTACAAGGGCCACACTTCAAGTGCATGGAGGAAATATGGGAAAAACCCTTTGTTTTTAAACCCAAAAGCTTGCTAAGAATTTTTTTTTCCAACTATAAGTTGGTCTAATAAAAGATATCAGATTCACCCAAATAACCTACCTATGCCCTTAGACCCACATGCTACAACCTACTCCCCTAGAGGAGATGTGGGCAGAATTCAGGTCCTTGGTTTGAGGTATGTATCAGTATAGCATTGACGAGGTAAGTGGAAAAATACGGGTTTGTAGCAGGAGACTCAGATTTTCATTTCTCGGATCTATGTATTTGTCTCAAGTCCGCTGCACGTGACCAGCACACCTGCTTCACACCCACACATCTTGCTGCGCCTAGCACACCCACACTTTTCGGATGCCAACACGTGGACGGGTTTAATGCATTCCCTCCGTGACACTGACGCTCCCAACTCAGCATATAGCGGCAGCACCCAGCCCGCGAGTCTCCCCCGCAAACACAGTCCCGCTCGCAAGGAGGCGGCACTAGGACAACAAACAAGCAAGGTGGGCACCGGGCCACTCTCGTTTCTTACTTGGGCTCCCATGTCTTGCAGCTGCTGCGCAAAGGTCTTGGAATAATTCTCCGTCCTGTTGGCGGACCACACCTCCACGTAGGCGGAGACACCTGGGGGACGAAGAGGGGTCATGAACACAGTCCATCACGTGTGACAGCAGGAAACGCGCGGGGGCCCTTGTCGAGCCCAAATCCTGCCTCCCTGGCGGCGGCAGGAGGCCCCGCTCCCCCCTTTCCCGCCCCGCTCCCCCACACGCGGCGCCGCTACCTCGCAGCACAGACTCCATAACTGCCGCGCGCCAACGTTCAAACCGCTTCCGAGCCAACCGCCTGCAGCGCCTGCGCCCCGCCGCCCCAGCCAATCAGAGGCCAAGCTTGAGAAAGACCCCACCCCCTCCCGTGCCTTGCGGGGGGAGGGTTGAACTAGGCGTCACTCCAGGGGCGGGGCCTCAGAGCTACAGGGGTCACGGCTGAGTGGGCCAGGCTTGAGGTAGGATGACATCATAGCTGGGGAGCTAGGGGTTACGTGCGCCTGCGCGGGACCTTAGGGGAAGGGAATGCTGTAGGGTGCTCAGTGTGTGTCCCGCTGAGACCCCGTATGCCACTTCATATGGGGTGAGGGGGAGTACGTTACACTGCACCTCTTGCAAAGGAGATGGAGGAGTCACCCCTCAGTTTTCTGCTTGCCTTGCTTCTCCCCTAGGGATTGCCAGCTGTGCATTGCTGGCTTCCCTGGCACCTCTGCAGCTTAAAAATCCATGTGATAGGTCTGAGGCAGCTTCTTTGGGTAGGTACGATATCTTTCATTAGACCAGGGGTAGGCAACTCTTTTTGGCCAGAATGCTGAAAAAAAAAAAATATCTACCTTGGAAGGTGCCGGAGTGCCCACAGCAGCTGTTTGCAGCTTTCCGGCTGCCTGCTGGGAGCAGCTGCTTAGAGCCTGGGCTGGTGGTGTTATGCTGAGCAAAATGGCCTTGCATGCCATGCTTGGCACACGTGCCGGGGGTTGCTGACCCCTGCATTAGACCAACTAAGTAGTTGGAAAAATTGCTCTTTGCAAGCTTTGGGGCACAAACACCCTTTGTCAGGCATAGGGAGAGCTGTACTTTTCTTTTTCAAAACAGTAAAAAGTTCTTCTAGTCTACAAAATAATAACATCTAAACAGAAAAGGGCCCATCAACCACACATCTTGTCCTCTCATTTAGTTTGCAAGATGTTCAAAGAATTTTGGAGTTGTTTTTAAAAGAAAGGTTTCTAGTGAGAGCTATTTACGCCTGTCAGATGGATGTGTATTTATCAATGTCAAAAACCTTTATTGATGGCTTTGCTTCTTATTTGTGTTTGACAATGTATGGTGAAATTATAAGGGGCATTTGTTTCTTGTCACAAAGAAAATGTAATACTATGGATCATGGAGTCTGCAGATTTTTTTAATGTTTTCGGTAAGGTGCAGGCGTTGTTCACAGTCAAAGTAGTGACATGTATTAAGCGCTGTGGGGGGGAGGGAAAGCAATGCAAAAATGCCTGTTCTTCAGCTGAAGCAGTGATTCCAATTTTATTTTCTCTTTGTATCCTGTAATTTAACAAATTACCCCTTCTGGATCCACAGCTAGTCTGCTGACACAACACCAGGTTTATTTTTTAATACATGGAAGGTTAATAATGAGATAAGTCCTACCCTTGTGATTTTGAAGTCACATTGTAAAACACAGCTCTTTGACATACCATTCCCCCAAGAGCCAAAATAAAAAAAAACAGTGCCACACTAAACAATAACAGCCCATCACAGAACTGAGAGTACAACTCAGCACCATGGTAATAAGCATCTAAGTCAGTGATTCTCAAGTCATCCTGCAAGAGGCTGCTTGTGGTTGGGGGGAGTTGGAAGAGGGCAATCAGGCAGGGGACACCAAATCCATGTGTGTGCGCATACATCCATGTAGTAGCCAGGTAGAATGGAGAGCAGCTTCTGCAGCTCCCTGCAGGTACATCTATGGGGGGGAGGGTGTAGGTGATGTATTGGGGGGCACAGGCAATATTAGAGGGGTATCACGTGTCTCCCCAGATTTGTGTGTCCACAGCAGGCATGGGGCTGCTGCCTGGTTAGACTAGCATGAGCAAGAGCTGCCTCTGCAGCCCAGCAGGCAAGACCCAGAGTGGGAGGGCAGAGCAAGGCGGTGACACTCTGCTGCCAGCACCACTGGGACCCCTCCAGCAGCTGTACCACCACCAACATGAAAAGTAACAGGTATGGGGGAGGCCTGCACTGCTCTCACCTCCTCCTGCCACCAGCCACTCTCCTTCTACTCTACTGTCATGGTCCAGCAACCTCTGCTGATCCCCTCAGGCCACAGCTCTACCTTACAGGTGATATGGGGCAGCAGGCAGTGCAGGCGGCTTGAGTTGAGCAGTGGTGGAGGCAGTGGCTGGGCCATGGTGGTGGGATAGAGTCACAAACCAGCGTGCAAGTGGCTGATGGTGGGAGGAGGTGAGGGCAGCACAGCCCCCAGTCCATTACTCCTGGCAGCACAGCTGGCTCAGGGGTCCCAGCAGTAGTGGCAGCAACGAGTCTCACCAGCCCACTTTACTCTCCTGTGTTGCATGCTCCCTACTCAGCTGTGAATGTGGCTCCTGTCTGGCCAGCCTGCAGCCCCATGCCCACTGTGGAAGCACAGATCTGGGGGGGCACATGCCCCACATATACCACCCCAACCCCACACACCCACCCTCTGCCCCACACACTGGGGGCCTGGGGACAGGGGGCAGTGGCTCAGGAGTGAGGGACACAAGCAAGGCTGGGGAGGTTGGAGGAGGGAGGGGGCTGTGTTTTGAGAGTGTGGGGCACCGGCAGCGCCAGGGGGTGTTTTCTCCTTAAACTATGTACTGGGTCAGGACTAGCCATTGATGTTTACAAATGGGTTGAGGACCACTAGTTTGAGGACCACTAGTTTATAATGCATCTTTTCCACATCCCACCACAGGCTGAATATTCAGAGTGGTACATTTTAGAACCCAGATCCCTGCTTTTTGTGCAGCAGTTAAATGTTACAGCACTGGGAATTGAAAAATCCAGTAGCTAGTACATTTCAGTATCTAATACCTTCTTCATGTTGGCAGGCAAGGTTCTTTTCGTAGATGTGATATCTTTTATTAGACCATAGATTTCATAGATTTCATACACATTAGGGCTGGAAG